AACACGTATGAAGCCTGTCTATTGCTTGTGAATGCAATTTACCCATAAATCCTTACCCCAAACATCTGCCTTGCTCTATGTGGCTGTGGTGACCGGGTACGATCTCCAGTGAGAAAGTGTGTAACATGTAAAACACAAAATGTTATGGGCAACCTGGGTGGATGCAAACGTTCTCAGTGACTTGGTTACTTGTGAAAAAAGCTAAAAAAGTATGAGCTTCTGAAAACCACGAGCTGGACACGTTGTGAAGTTAATGCTGAATTGAAGATCAATCACAGTTTAAAAACAGTGTTTATCTCTAATATTTAGCCGGGAAACGTTTCAAATAAGAATTCTTAACAGACTTTGGCGAATTTGTTGCAGCAGCTGCTCTTCTGGTACAGGCAGCCAGGGGATCATGGGTAATTTCCACCGTTCAGTTGTGTTTCAGAGCGGTACTACACAGTCAGAGCTCCGCTCAATACATTGACAGACTTTTTATTTTCTCAACATGAAAACCACTTAATCGCTCCAACGCAGCGCCCCTCAGAATTACTGAAATACTGGTGTTCACTAAACGTTACATCGCGATGCTTTAATATAAATTGGTTGGTTTTAAGAGACCTTGTTCTCTGAGTCTCTTTCATTATTGACTCTGGTATTAATGGAAGTTGAGTTTTTATCTTGTGGAACTCACTTAAATCACTGACATGAGACAGACCCATCGTTATGTGTTGGCCATCCCTTGTGATCTTCCGGTTGTGTAACCTTTCTTCAGAAGAATAACTGTAAGAGCTGGTCGTCAATGGATGGAGGATTTATTACACTGACAGTAAATAAGACAAAATAATGAACGCAGGACAAAAATACTGAGAGAATCACAGAATTTGACCTCAGCTGCTGAGACATATGAAAAGAAAAAATAACCAAAAGCTTGTTTATACAGAAAAAAATGTATTAGCTCATAAATGCAACCACAAATATCGTCCCGCAGATTTCTACGTAGCAGCAGCAGCGGTGGCCAAGTCTCATTTCATGTTGGCACGGAGTGAGACCTGAGCTAAAGCTGTCTCAGACAGCTGAGTGTTTGAGAGGGGTGAGGGGCTGCTTGGAAGGATCAGGCTATAAAAACACACTGTGTGTGTGTGTGTGTGTGTGTGAGACATTTATTTGTTTACGTCTTGGCTCTGTGGCCCAGCGCTGGTTCCTGTGGGGATGAAGGAGACACAACACCCGATGGCCTCTGGTAGAATAAGTGAGACAATAACAGGATTTTGTAGTTTTTCTAATGAACTGTCTGTGCAAATGAAATCACTCGTACCTACAGAACTGTCAGAAACCTGATTTCTGAATATCTGAATAATTAGTTAACAATACATCACCTCAACTTAAAATGTCTGATAGAAATTAATCTCTGACCATTTTTATATTGAAATTGATTTTTAATAGAATCTCTACAGGCACCATTTTGTACTTCACTTCATACAAATTTAAAATATATTGCTCTGAGGCTTTTTGCACAAATAAACAGTTCGACCAAGGTATAAGCATTTTCAGTGTTCGGTTGTTTTCAATAGTTGTCGTGTTTTAATTGTTAAATTCATCATTAGAAACAGATCAACACCTTTTATTTTTGTGACTCTGCACATTGTCCACATGAGAGGAACAAAGAATCATCCATAAATGCACAATATTTTTACGACAGAGGCGAAATGCAAATCCCAGCATAGAGATGTGTGATCCAACATGCGGGGCCTTGAGCAAACTATGTTCCCTACTCATGATTTACATCGAGGTGGACGGATATATTTTTCAACCCTGTGAAACAATAAGTTACAGGATTGTGATGGAAATACATGCAGAGATTAATCAGTGTGAATGAAACAACATCTGTCTTTTGAGAACTTTAATAGGTGACCTGTTAATTTGTATTTATATTAGTTTGATTATGATTAATACATGAATTCATACCAGAATATTATATTTCACAGAATGAAGGAACAATATTAAATATTGAACAGTCACCTCCCTGCAAGCTTGAAAAGGATCCTTTGAAAACTTTGTTCCCTGAGCCTTTGCAGATGATATCAGGAGCAGTGTGATTGAACTCGTGGCTTTTACACTGGATTCCAGTTTCAAGGTGGAAAAGATTCGTAGAAAGTTTTCATGTTGTGTCACCCTGCCTTACTTCTCATGATTAATCCGGTATGAAGTTTTAAAAGTCTTTATCAAGTCTCGTCATCACTGTTATTCACAACATTAACCAAAAAGTTTTGGATCCAGATAAACCTTTTTTATACTCTGTAACATTTCGAGAGAGTGCGTCAGCCTTGTCAGACGAATGTGCTCTCAGGTGTCGTTCTAGTCAGACTTGAAATCAGTTTTGTGGAGACCGTGATGGAAGGAAAGAACGTGGAAGACGCACAGCAAAGGGCCGGGTCAGAACCGAACCAGTGGCCATTGCAGGGGGACTCAACCCTCCTTCATCCGCCTTAATCACTGACTCAAAAACTGCTTATTTTTCTAAATGAGGACACTGCTTTTGTCCCTAATTGGACAAAACGTCAATCATTTTCTAGTCTTTCTTGTTACCAATGGTGATGCTTCACATACACACACACTGAGGTCTGTCCTCCCACTCTGTCTGAACTTGAACCGGCACAACAAGAAAGCTCTCATATATCAGAGCTCTCTACTGTTTGTGCCTGATCGCAGCAGAACTCACACATTAAGAGCATTTTGAGCATCGGAGCCCATCAAGAAGCAATTTACTGTGACCACGCTGTGCGATCATCACAACCCACCCTGTGTGTCGACGTACAGGCTCAAATCACAAAGCCTCGGCTTACTAGACTGAAACACTGTAAAACTACAAGCAGAGAAAAGACACTGGTCAGGAAGTCTTGCTGAAAGAAGCTTTCTCCTCCCTGTTGGTGCCCAGTTTGTACTGTTCTGTTTTTATGCAGCACATCTAGAGAATATGTCGGAAAAACACTTTCCTCTTTGTGGCTGGACCGCAACGAGCCCTCTGAGACTGACCGAGTGATCGTTACATCACTTGTCAGTTAGTCACATCATTGGTTGATCAGTGTCAGTAGCTGTGGACTCGGCACAGTTTTTATTACATCACCACGGAGCATTTAATGTAGACCATAAATGAAAATGGACGACATGACTACGCCCCAAAAGGGAAGCCAAAGAGTCCGGATCGCCACCTGGTGGCTGGCTGCAGGGTAGGGACTTGGGGCAAGGGCCAAACTTTGTCTGATTACGTTAAATGAATATTTTGTTCATTTTTGTTGTTTGCTCGTGTTTCTGATAAGTTTGGTTTTTATTTGTTATTTGCTATAAAACGTGACGATGGACAGCTCAGACTGACTCACGATGGGTCAAGCAAGAGTTCCAGCAGGACCTCGCTACCGTAGCTCCGTCCCCAGATTGCTACAGCGCAGACTCTGGCTCCCAATGTGCAAGATGGCGACATTTGTATCACGATATTTTGACTTAATTTCTGGGTAGTGGGAGGAGTAGAGACGCTGCATCTATAAACAATTCATGGAGTTCGTGGGTAGTGTTGCATTTGCTGCTAGTTTACCAACTTTCAGACCTTTATTTTTTTTTACTTTCCTAAGAAGAGCATCACCAACGCTGCCTTGCATGAGTTCGTCTCACTCCGCAGGCCCACCCTTCCTGTTGATGTTGAAGTCAATGAGCTTCTTCCACTCTTCATTTAAGTAAATAAAATTTAAATCAATGCAGAGCCGGCCATCTCCGGTGGTTTTGTCAGACTACATCGCTGTTTTTAAAACTTGTTACTTTTAAAAACATAAAAAATAAAATATATTAAATATGGATGTGAGGAACAGAGAAGGAAACAAATAGAGTAACGAGGAGGAATAATGGAAATCCGGCACAATGATGAACTGAATATGTTAATAAACATATTACATGATCTAATGACGGGCTGACCTTTCCAGCAGGTTGGATTGTTTCCATAATGATCCCAACTACCACCACAATTTTGCACATTGACCACACTGCAGCAGCACACTTGTAATGAACCATTATGATTTTCAGGACTCTTACTGCAGACACAGGAGCAGAGACAAGAGAAGTTTGAATATAAAAACTAGCAGGAAAGAAAGAACTGCAGCCAGCAGGCAGCCGGGATGTATGGTTCTGAGTTTCTGTTCCAGTGAGCAGGGCAGACTGAGGTTCATCTGAGTCCAGCTGATCTCCAAATGACAGAGCGCAGCAGGCGGCATTCAAACTACTTCAGTTTCCAATCCAGAGATCCGACAACTATTTTGGCTGGAAGTTTCAGAGCAGGGCGGCGGGTGGTGGACCTGAACACAGGTACACAGAGTTTAAGAACTGCAGGGGAAAAAAAGAGACCGGCAAAGTAGAATCTATCACAAAGGCAAAAGGCAGAGAGAGAGCAGCAGCAGTGTTACGACCACAGAGTGTGACTGGGCGACCTGGGGGGAGTCTGCTGGGTTGAACTGGGGTCATATGGTGCATCAGGGTTGTTGAGTTGAATGCAAGCTGAGTCACAGGTGTGTGTGTGAGTCGACCTGAAGCTACGTCAGGAAGACAAACACTGTTTACTTATTCAGAATATTGTCTGACTCGGGCTAATATCAGAATAGTGGTTTCCTAGTGTTGTAAATGTCTCTATTGTTGCACTCATGAAAAACCGATCTTACAGACTCCGTAAAATGCCATAATCACACTTTAACTTTCTCCATTCATATAGAAATCACCTGTAATGAATGAACACATCATTTTGTAGACCTGAAATATAAGACGACTCTAATTTCTTTAAAATCTAAGTTTCTGGAACTAATGTCAATGTCGCGTCCTTCCTCTTGAAATCAATAAATAAAAACTCCAGTGTTCTCTTCATCTCCTCTATTTTGTTTTGTTATTATAAACCAAGATCTCTGTTCTGACCTGTTGAAAATGTATTATCTGTTCATGTGATCCTGAGTCTGTGTGTTTGTGTCTGTGTTTTCCTGCAGGTCAGGGCGTCCTGTTAGTTTCATGATGGTCTTCAACACTCCAAACCCCCTGAGTAAGATCTCCTGGGTCAACAGACTGCACTTGTCCAAGATCGCACTACGTAAGTGCACATGCACAGGCAATCATGCACACACACACACACACACACACACACA